CGTGGGGTGCAGAGTCTTTTTTCGCGGAGCCACCATTCGCCTCGGCGATTTCCCCTGGTGCCGGCTGGTCGTGACGTTTTAGATTCGCGCCATCATTTTCTCCTTTTTTCACCCGCTCCGAAGTCGCCACGTCGTCGCCCTTTTCCGCTTTCCGGAACTTTACGCGATCGCTAGGTCGATCCGCAGCTACTGGCGATTGCCGTTTTTTGACTTCGGGGGTGCTCCACTGTTACCGCCCTGCATTATCGCACGCACTTTCTTCATCTTGTAGCACGACAAAATTTGATGCCCTGCTGCGCCGCAAAATTCGCATTTTGTCGGCTGCTGCTTCGCGTCGAATTTGTCGATATCCATCGGTTCGGCGAACGTGGGGGGTGCCGATCGCTCCGTGCCGAATGTACGGTTCGGCGCAAAAAGTCGTGTTTCGGGTTGACCTCGAGTCAGCGCGTCGTATCGTTCGGCTGCACGCACGATGTCCCTGTAGCTGTCGTAATTCGCCGCGATCACCTGCCGCCGAATCTCTAATTTTAACCCTTCTGTGTACGCCTGGATTTTTTCGCCTTCGGTCAGGTCGGGGATGCGGGTGAACAGGAGCTCCATCTGCTGCGTGTACTGTGCTACACTACTGTACTGTTTGTGCCGATGAATTTGTTGCCGCGCCATGTAGGTGGTATTAATGGGTTCGAAACGCTCAATTAGGTCTGCCCAAAACTGCGTCCACGTTTTCTCCCCGCGGGCCACGTCAGTGTTGTAAATCCACTCGAGTGCTGGTCCGCGTAACAGTGTCGCTGCGAGCCGGATTCGTGTTGCGTCGTGTGTCGGGGTCGAACAGCCAATGGCCTCGAAGTAAATTTCGAGGGTGGCCACGAATCGCCGGACGTCGGATCCCTTCGCGCTTGGATCGAACGCCTCCGGGAGCCTCGGTCGTGCTGCTTCGAGGTTCGGCGACAGTGGTGCCATCGGTCCGTGAAAAGTCGGTGCTGCCACTGCTGCTGGAGTTGTCGCTGCTGCTGCCGTGGCGAACCCTGGGTGGCTTGTCAGAAAAGCCTCGAGTCGACGAAGCGTCGCCTGCGTCTGCTCCATGTCGGTGCGGAGGCTCGCGATGTCGCTCGTAGTCGCGTAATTGTCGCCCTGGCCTTCCATGCCTGACATTAACGCGTCCGAAAAACCGAATCGAGGGGGAGCGAAAAACACGGAACCGGTTTTACGTACCCAAAATCGATGTTTAACTGCGTCGCCCCCGCGGTTTTTTGAAGACTGGTTTTTAGCGGTCGAAAGAACTTCGCGTGTAAACGAGCTCTGATTACCAAGTGTGAGGATCGAGGATCGAGTTCAGAAATGAGAATGTAAATTGAATGATCACCTGGGTACAACACGAGGCTATATATAGGCTCGACACAAGGGGCAGTAACCAGGTGTTACGCGAAGGTTCTGCGGGTCGCGAAGCGTCCCGAACAGACCCTTCCCGAATTCGGTAGAAAGCAGTTCGGTGGCAACCGAATAGCTCCGAATTCGGTGTAACCTAGCACGGTGCTTATAACTATAATAAAATATAGAAAAGCACCTAGCCTAGGAATCAAGCAATTCATGCATGCAGAAAATAAACCTAAGCTAGAAATAGCGTAAGGAAAGGAATAGAAGCAAGCATGAATAACAAGCATAAGCCGTCGTACTCTCACAGCTGCAACAGATGGTGAAAAGCAAAAATCCGACACTGGAGTACATTTCGACGACTAAGCAACTTTCAGATTTCCTCACAAAGGCACTCCGTTTTTGGGCATTCAGCTGGTTCTCCATTGATGTTGGCCAAGTTCGCCTTGTTGATGGCAAAGCTGACGACGTGTAGAAATAGATGCAATATGGCTAGTGCGGTGAACGTTGTGCTAGGTTTGCACACCGTCGATCCCCCTTGTATTCCATTACATAGGTTTGTTTGGTGGACCTTGTTGGAATTACTGATGGGTTATTACACATTCTCGAAGGTTCTCCCTCATTGAACTGCTTCATAAAGAAGCAGCAACTGTACCAGTACCGCGCTAGCTCATTTAGAGCACGCGGCAGTCAGAAAGCCTCGTGAAGGTCAATAGTAACTGGAAGTCAATTGATGCAACTGTTGACCACCTAGTATCTGTACTCGGAGGTTACACGCTGCAACTCGGTAATTGACGAGTAGAACAAAACTCACAGTTACTGTAGCAATGCAATACAGTTAATAAGGGAATGTACCCCTCAGAGTACATGGCTAGATAGGATCGCTATTTAAGCTCCTTATATCTCTATCTTAATCATCTTGTTCTCTTTCTATTTTTATCAACAAGGTCATTTCAATACTTCATTGTCTTCTCTACACACTTGGCTAGCTTATCCTACACACTAAAGATCCTACTTATATAAACATGGTATGTGTGCTAGTGTGGATTATAAGGACTACCAAGATCCCGTTCTTCTTCGAACAACGGTATATGAACTTATCCAATACAGCACATGTTACAAGTCTGCA